ATGAACTTTTAACCCTCAAAATCTTCGATTAGCAACACATTTCTTGATCAGAAAGTTTAGAAATAAGTCTCTTTCACAAAATTAACTTCTATGACTATCCTTAAAATACATGGCAGGTAACAATAATTCTTGAGTTAATTCTTATATGATATTAATGTATTTGAAATCGGGAGTGTCTCAATTATATGTACACATTTTTCCCTCATGTTCTTTTTGAACACTTGAAACCAAAATTGGTTGGAGATAATTGAGAATTCGACAAACACTGGAGTTGTATGGAATTTGGTAACCAACTGTCCTTATTCGTTGATTCCAAATCCATTTTACAACACTAGTAATCTTCTAAATCCCAACCAAGTCAACCCTTCAAGCAATTTCATAGACATGTCTGGTTTCAGTGGTAATCTTTCAAATCCCAATCAAATCAACCCTCCAAGCAATTTCATGGACTTGTCTGATTTAAATGGAATTGGGCAATCGTCCAATTTGTAGAAAACGAAAAAAATAAAGAAATTGTACTTGACACAAAACGAAAAAGAAAAACGAAACTGTACTTACACACATTGTATGTGTTAAGTACACGTATGAAACATCCAAATGTCTAGCCAACTTTCTAGTAATATGAAAATTATCCTCAAATTCAATCCTTCAACTAAATTGCGTTCTACAACAATAAATGTCAAAAAGGGTCTTCATTAAAACGTCAACAAGGGGCATATAACATCACATCAAGCACTTAAACGTCTAACATAAATACATTAACCTCATAAAAGATTCTCAGTTAAAGGAAAAATGGCACCAAAAAGCATAAGTAAATGCTATAGTTCTTACCAAAATGTCAAAAAAAGACAGCAACATCGCTGTGCAGCTATTTCCAGAACAGCTTTATCACAACACATTCATGTATCTGCGAAAGAACAAGAAATCATTTCAAGGTACAAAGATGAACGTGAGAAAAAAATTATACTCTCACGTTGTCACTCTGTGGCTGTCTCTTCATCAGATAAGTTGTACTCCTTCAGCCACGATATGTCGTTGGGATTTGGATTTTTTGGGACAAATTTGAATGATTTTATGTTGAATACATCTTTAGCGCCCTTGATACGTTGCACATATCCACTTACACGACTCCACTTACCGCCCCATTCCCCATGAATTGATCGAACGGTTTGACGGTTAGAAAGGCGCCGCATTGGGGTAAAAAAGAATAGTATGCCCGCCTCTGCGTCAATATAATTGTCTCCAAATCAACATAATTTCGTATCTTTCATTTCTGTATTTTTTATTTGGAGATAATTATATTGACGCGGAAGCGGGCATACTATTCTTTTTTACTCCAGTGCGGCGCCTTTCTAATCGTCAAACCTTTCGATCAATTCATGGGGAATGGGACTGTAAGTGGAGTCGTGTAAGTGGATATGTGCAACGTATCAAGGGCGCTAAAGATGTATTCAACATAAAATCATTCAAATTTATCCCAAAAAATCTAAATCCCAACGACGTATCGTGGCTGAAGGAGTACGGCTCATCTGATGAAGAGACAGCCACATAGTGACAACGTGAGTGTAATTTTTTCCACGTTCATCTTTGTACCTTGGAATGATTTCTTGTTCTTTCGCAGATACATGAATGTGTGCTGGTAAAGCTGTTCTGGAAGTAGCTGCACATAGATGTTGCTGTCTTTTTTTTGATAAGCGATATGACATTTACTTGTGCTTTTTGGTACCATTTTTTCCTTTAACTGAGAATATTTCATGAGGTTGATGTATTTATATTATACGTTCAGGTGCTTGATGTGATGTTATGAGCCCTTTTTGACGTTTTAATGATCTTTTTTTGACATTTATTGCTGTAGAACATGATTTAGTTGAAGGATTGAATTTGTTGATAATTTTCATATTACTAGAAAGTTGGCTAGACATTTGGATGTTTCATCGTGTACTTACACATACAATGTGTGTTGAGAACAGTTTTTTTTTTTTTCGTTTTGTGTCAAGTACAATTTCTTTATTTTTTTCGTTTTGTACAAATGGACGGTTGTCCAATTCCATTTAAATCAGACAAGTCCATAAAATTGTTTGGAGGGTTGATTTGATTGGGATTTGAAAGATTACCACTGAAACCAGACATGTCTATGAAATTGCTTGAAGAGTTGGCTTGGTTGGGATTTGGAAGAATACTAGTGTTACAAAATGGATTTGGAATCAACGGATAAGGACCGCTGGTTATCAAATTCCATACAACTCCAATGTTTGTCGGATTATCTCCGATCAACTTTGATTTCAAGTGTTCAAAAAGAACAGGTGGGGAAAAGAATAGGAATATGACGAAAAAAGAATGTAATGTTTCATTGACACACATACACAACGAAAAAAGTAGATAAACAAAAATGGTGTGCTTTAACATAGAAACTACAATGTAATGTTTCATTGTGCCTAGGATTTGGGAGGTTAGGAGTGTTGTAAAATGGATTGAGAATTAACAGTTAATTTTCTAAATGTTACCGAACGGACTGATAATTTTCCAAATCCCAATCAAGCTAACCTCACAAGCAATTTTCATGAACATGTCTGGTTTTAATAGTAATCTTTCAAATCCCAACCCTCTTAGCAATTGTTTGGAGGGTTGATTTGATTGGGATTTGAAACTAGATATATTCTTGAAATTGCTTGAAGGGACCGGCTTGGTTGGGATTTTGAAGATTACTAGTATTATAAAATGAATTTGGAATCAACGGATAAGGACTGTTGGTTACTAAATTCCATACAATTCCCGTGTTTGTCGGATTCTCCATTATCTTCAACCAACTTTGGTTTCAAGTGTTCAAAGAGAACAGGTGGGGAAAAGAACAGGAATATGGTGAAAACATGAAGAGAAAAAGAACGTAATGTTTCATTGACACACACAGACAGCGAAAAAAAAAAAAAACAAAAATGGTGTGCTTTGATATACAAACTAAAATTGGCACAAACTTTCGATTTCGTACACACTGATAAAGAAGGAAAGGCGAAAAAGAAGCGTTTACGTACACATTGAAAAAGAAAAACAAAAAGGAATGTGTACGTGTAATTGGCACAAACTTTCGATTTCAGATACATTAATATTCTCTTCAAAAGACTTATTTCTAAACTTTCTGATCAAGAAATTTGTTACTAATCGGAGATTTTGATGATTAAAAGTTCATGGGAGAGTTCCTTACATTTTCAACTCATCAATCATGGGAGGGTTTTCAGGCAGAGGACTTCCCAAAAAGTTACGCACATTTTCAACCTTCCCAACCTCCACATTTCCAACAATCCACATTTCCAACATCTACCGCAAGAGGGATGAGAGACCAAAAGAAATTTCAAATTTAGCATAAGAGAACAAAAAAAAAAATGAAGCTTCAATAAAATTCAATTGAACCCTTCCCAATAGTGTTCCCAATAAAGTGTAATCTATATCAAACCTTATCTATTCAAGAAACTAAACAATTATACCACTAAATTCTAGCCGATAAAGATGCCACTGTTTTTGAGCTGCAACTAGTAGTCGAGTTTTTACTGTGACCAATTTAGCAACGTGGGAAAATGTTTCTTCATAGTCTAGGCCAGCTTGTTGGATGAAACCTTNTACTGTGACCAATTTAGCAACGTGGGAAAATGTTTCTTCATATTCTTGGCCAGCTTGTTGGATGAAACTTTTAGCTACAAGTTGTACCTTCCTCCTTTCCTCTGTGCCATCTGAATTAATTTACTGGCCACATGTTTCTTATGTGCAAGAAGCTTGTCAACAGTCCAAGTGTTATTAGAGAGAAGAGCTTGGTACTTTGTATCCATGGCCTTGCACCAATCTGGATGCTTAGAGGCTTCAACATAAGACTAAGGTTCATATACAGTGGATAAGGCCAGCATGTAGTGTCTTTGTGCAGTAGACAACATGCTATAGTCCAAACAGTCTGAAATAGGATATCGTTTTCCAGATTCAGAACCTTTTGCCTTGAAACTTGACTGGGGAACATGCATTTAAGATACCAAACTGCAATGATAATCTTGTAGATACGATGAAGTTTGCTTAGGCCTACTAGATTGATGGGTAGGTATTATATGTGGTGAAGAAGACACCTCAGGTGGAATGAATTTAGGAGAGGCTCCTTCATTTGAAATATTTGAAGTCGAGGAAGGATCAGGTGGAGAGGAAATAGGAACATGTAATGAAATTGAGTCTGAAGTCGGGAATGAAATATCAAGATGTTGATGTGCTGTGCTGGAAAGAGGATTGGATCATGCAGTGGAAAATCAGAAGGCTTTGACAGAGAGTTGAGAAAAGTGGGATGATGGAAATGAAATATTGTTTCATGAAAAGAAACATAATATTGTCGAGGCTAGATAGAAATTATGGACGGGAGGGTCTGAATTTTCAGCTTGAGCTTGTTGGGCACTCGATTGTAAAAATGTTTCAATGAGAACTTAAAACTATGTTGAATGTAGCTCACTTCCAATGTCATGGTAGTTTTATTGAAGTTCGTATTTTTATCATGTAAAACATTTGTTTTTTGAGCTCCTTTTCAGGCTTGTGCTATGAATCCTTACAATCCATATGGAGGAATGTTGACAACTTACACCCACCCTTCGGTATGTGCATGAGTAGTAACTTGTGTTTTGAATGCAGTAGTTCATTCCTTATTTCCTTCTTTATTAAATTGGCAAAAGGGAAGTGTTTACTTGCTTATAGGAGGGGGATCAGGGTTGCCCAACTTCTTGTTTTCGTTTCCGTTTAATACGATTATCCATTTTTCTCTTGTGAAAACTTCATAATATTTTGTAATTAGTACCATAGGTTGAGGGAATATAAAAAGACGTCATCAGTACTGGACCATGTAGCACAGGGCACCTTACATAAGGCTAAAAAATGGTCGCTGTGTGGGAAGGAGTCATCTTCGCCAGACTACTACAACCAAACACGCTAAAAAAGTTGATTGCACATATTGGGTTAAAAT